TAAAAAAAAAAAAAAAAAGAGGAATAAAAAAGGCAACCTGCAACGGTTTGGTGCCCCAACTTTAGAATTTACCAACTTTGGTATTTAGAAAATACCAACTTTGGTATTTACAAAGCAGACACAGTCTGTGTCATCAAGAAGCACAGGGTGTTGCCCTGGTGCACGTGGTGGGAGGCTGACCATCTACATCTGTCTGTCTGTCTGTCTGTCTAACAACTTGATTGACTTATAACCTACATCCCTTCACCCACCTCAAGTGTACAACTCACTGGTTCTCACAGAGTTGTGCAACCGTTACGACTACGGTGTCAATTTTCGGACACTTCCATCATCCCCAAAAGAAACGCCTTGTCCATTAGCAGTCACTCCCCAGTTTCACTGTCTCCGACACCAGGCGGCCACTGATCTACTGTCTGTCTTTATAGATCTGCCAAAGTGAACATTTCATGTAAGTGGAATCACACGGTACGCAGTCCTTTGCGACTGGCTTCTTCCACCTAGCGTCAGGTCTCAAGGTCCATCCACGTTATAGTACGTATCAGTACTTCATCCCTTTCCATGGCCAAGTAACACCCACTGTATAGATAGACCGCATTTTATTTATTCGCTCATAGTTGATGGACACCTGGGTTGTTGTTACTTCTTGGCTGTTATTAATGCCGCTGCTATGAACACTCATGCGCAAATCTGTGCGTGGCTGTTTTCAGTTCTCTTGGCTTCATACCTAGGTGTGGAAGCGCTGTAGGACACGGGCACCCAGTGTTTAGCCTTTTGTGGATCTTCCAAACTCTTTTCCAAAAGGGTCGTACCACTTCATCTTCCCGTCAGCAGTGTAGGAGGCTTCCCTTTCTAATTTAAAGTCATTTCAGACTAGCGTTCGGTAAGCCTATCATAACGCGTCTATCGCTCCTGCCCGGGAGAAAAACTTGGGTCCTGGCAAAGCCAAACTTCATCTCACATTTATACGAGGACGTCAGCCTCAGCAGGTCTCTGAACAACTGAGTGATTATGTAAAGACTTAAAATCGTGACAGTGGGTAGGGGGACATTTTTCTAGCATGGAGAGCATGGAGATATGTATCTATACGCCTACATGCACACACACGGTTTAGTAAACACCGTAATTTGCAACAGGGACTCTTTCGCTCTGGAACACACTGAAGAGATGGCGGAGACGGACGTCTTGTGTGGGTCCTGCCTGGGAAGATCAGGGAGAGGTTTCTCCAGGGTTTTCCGGAACCCACACCCAGGCAGGCACTGAGCTATGGATGGCAGCTTTGCCTGCCTTCCTGCTAACGCCAAAGAGAGCACGCAGGCCAGGAAAGGGGACCTATTCCCGCCAGAAGGCGCAAATGCTCCCAGGAGGAGACTGGATGAAGAGGGGACTCAAGGTCACCATCCCCTCTTCCACTGACCCCACCACCATCTTTGAAACTCAAGGGCCATTATCTGTACACGACACAGCCCGGAGTGTATGTTAAGGATTCTTCCCGAACCCTCGCTCAGCCAGGGTCTACTGGTTTTACTGCCAGAAAATCGACGCCCAAGTGGGGTCGCTGGCAATGCCACAGACACAGCAGCGGGGTTCGAGGTGAAGATGGGGCACGCCACGCTCCTAACGAGCCCACTCCACCAGTCCTCCAATTAGTGCCATTAAACCTACTTTTCACTCT